CTCCTAGTTTATAAAGTACGTAATTATTAAGAATATAGCGTTATTAAAAAAGAGGGTTAGTATGCGTACTAAGAAACGTATTTTATATATTTTAAAGTTTACGAAGCTAGGAATAGTAGGGGGTATAAAAGCCGGAACGATTATTAGGTTAACGACTTAGGGTACGGAAGCAGATAGTATAATAAGAGGTTAGTTATAAATAATTATAATAAATATAAAAGAGGACTAGGGGTGCGAATTAAAGAAGTCCTTTATATAAAAGCTAATATAGTTTTTATATAACCTCTAGTTTTTATTTATCTAGCGGATAATACTACGGAGCTTAGTAATATTTTATTAAAACTATAGTTAGAAGTGCGCTTCTTAATAATAAAAAAAATAATATATTTATAAAAAAGGGAGCGCTATTTATAATAGCCTTAGTAAGGGCCTAGGCTATTAGCTATAAGACAACTAATATATTAATATACCCCTTAGCTAAATAGCTATTAAAATAATATATATACTAGCTATTACTTCTTATAAAATAACGACTACTATCCTTAAAGTTAGTATACTAAAGAGCTATTTTAAAATAGGGTAAGTATTAAATCTCCTATTCTTTAAAAGCCTCTTTTTTAAGCTTTTTAAAAACTAAGTATACGTTAAATAGGCTTAAAATAATAAAAAGAACTATACTTATTACGGGGGGTATTTTTATTTCTTAGCGTTCTTTTTTATTTCTTATTGCCCTTTTAAAAAGAGCTAGCTTTACGTTTTTTAAACTTTAAAATAATATTAAATATAAATTCTTAAGATAATAAGTATATAATATACCTTTTTTAAAAAGCTTATTATCTAAACTAGTTTTATTCTTATTCTTAAACTCCGAGGGGGGGATAAGTAAAAGCTTATTAGAGCTCTTATTATTACTATTTATTTTATTATTACCTTTATTATAATTATTAAAAAGAGCCTCGAATTTAATAAAGTCCTCGGTATTTTAATAAGTAACCTCGATATTTTCTTAGCTAGGGAGGGAGAGCTTAGTAACTAGGCCTTAGTAAGTAAATAAGAAGTTATAAAAAAAAAAATAATTTAAAAAGGCTCGTTAGTATTATTATCTATTTAAATTCTTAATAAACTATATAATACGTATATAAGAAGTATTATAAAGATTATATAAAACTTATTATTATTTTTAGATATATTAAATATTTATATTTAAAATAAAATTAATAAACGATTTAATAGCGTAAGTATGCGTATGTAATAAATAGGGGTACTTATAGTAATTATAAGAGGTTAAAAAGAAAAAAAGAATAATAACTAAGTAACGTTACGAAAATTTAGATATATATAAAGTAGCTAAGTAGCCTCGCTCTTAGTAATTTATATACTAAAAATAGTATAATACGTACTATTCTAAATTAGGATTTTATTTATTTTAAATAAAGGGATATATTTATAATAAACGCGGTTTAAAAAACGCGTATCCCTTATACTTATTTTTTTTTTATTTATATTTAACTAAATTAGGCCTTTATAAAAGTATTTAGAAATTCTATTTTAAGTATAATAGCTCCTTAGTAGTAGTAATTAGGGGGTATATTACGTAATAGGGATAGTAATTATACTTTACAAAGTGCCCGTTACGTACTAAATTACGTATTTATTTTAAATATCGTATATATAGACCTTTTCCTTTTGTCTATTTCTACTTTAATAGTTAAGCTATTTTTACTATACTCCGTATGCCCATTGCTGCGTGCCATAACTCGTGATAAACAACCCCTTAATGCAAGCAATGTAGAGAAAAGGCTTGAGTAGATGCGTCGATGTTGTAATTCGTATTTCCCCTTTTATACCACGACTTCACAATTCTACATCTCAGAAGCCTTCGCAAGAAATGGAGAGGTCGAGGCTTAGGCCGGATTTCCTCTCAAATTTGCCCCCTCCCCCCCCCCCCCCCCCCCCCCCCCCCCCCCCCACACCCCCCCCCCCCCCCCCCCCCACCCCTCTACCCACCCTCCCTCCCCTCACCACAACAATGTCCACCCCCAAAACCTCGCCACAAAAAGGGGGGGGGCGGCGCTATGGCGGGTTTTCCCTCCAAATTTCCCCCCCCCCCCCCCCCCCCCCCCTTCCCCTTCGCCAACAATATCATCCCAGCCCTCATCATCGGTCTCTCGAAGCACACCGCACCGAATCAAAAATTCGACGTTCTTTTTAGACCAATATGTCGAGAGACCTACGTTGCTGAACTGTTTGCGGTATGAGTCATGAAACTTGCAGGTGCCTTCCTTTCTAGAAGTCCCGGTGTTGCTGATGTATGCTGAATTACTGTGGTTTAAGTACCAGATAACGACACAATCCTCTTACTGGGCAGGTCATTCACCTCTATTGTCAGCATACCAAGCTCCATATGGATTGTCATGGGGTTTGGGTACGTACACAATTTCATCCGAAAGAAAAGAAGCCCAACTTACGACATGGTTGGGGTTTTCTGTAGCAGAGCCGTGATGGTTTTCGGATTGTCGTCGGCTTTGCGATTCACGATAGTCAATGGGGGTCTTTTTACCATCATTCGTGGGTGATTTTCCAGCCCAGACTCCCAAACCGAGGACGTCAGTCTTGCGATCGGATTCGGAAAGATGTGGCGCACTCTGGACAGCCAGTTTCTGTCCGTTGCGGTCGATTGATTCGGTCGCCGTCAATTCGCATTGGGCCTCGCTCGAAGCCTTCGTGCTGCTTTGAGCTCGAGCCGCTTCACTGTCCGAATCACAGTTACTGGGTTTGGGTACTTCCAGGAACTTTTTTCCATAGTCGTCGGCATGTCTGAAACTCATGTCGTACTGTGGGCTGGCAGGGTGCCCGTCACCGCGCGCATCTTTCCGGTCGTCAATGTGAAGATCGTTTAGTTCCGAGAGTAGGCCCTCAGCTGGGAGTTCTTCTGTGTTGTGGATGAATATTGCTGGTACTTTGCTCATTGCTTCTGAAATCTGGCTTGACTTGGAGCGGAGGGACAATTGCGTAACTTCGGTAGTGATGGTTATCGAAGGAATGCCGGATGTTGGTTCAGATTCTAGGTACTTCCGATATAGGACTGTGTGGGAAGGGGACATCTGATATTTTCCCCCTTAGCAACGAGTTTTATACTCGTCATTACTGTACATCCCAAAGATGGCAACTCGCATCACGTTGTTTGCATCCCAGAGGTGAATTGCAAGGTTCAAAGACGGATGATTTGACGTCTGCGGGTGTTTGGATGTTGGTAAGACGCGGTAGGTTATCCCATGCTACCCGAACAACAAGGACAAAGCAAGCATGATATGTTGCATGATACTGTGTAGAAATTTGGGCAATCTGGCGATGGAGCCAATGGTGTTGGAACTTCGCAAAAGGTGGAGAGTGGGTGTTGTTCATTACGGCCATCGAGTGATTCGCCATTGTGTCTTAGGGGAACGTGTGTCTGACGCCAAGACGGCGCATCGAATTAAGTAGGACAAAGAAAGCACTGGGAATGAGGCAAGTCGACAGATCCAAGCACGACCATGATGCAAACTCAAGAAATTACCGATTGTGCAACGGCCAGAATCACTTGGGTGGGCTCTGGCCATTGTGGCGGTGTTTTTGGCCTTTCATCACGATGCGGGTAGACGTTCCGGTGAAGATTACCTCAATGGTTGCTTTTCTTAGCTAATTGAACATGCATATGTTCGTTGTCGCTTGTGTTTGGTAGACTTACCAGGGCAACGAGGCGGTAAAAGAGCGACCAGGATACCTCATTGAACAAAAGGCTGTAGACTCTGGCTGTTTTACCGCGTCAAGGACTGTTGGTACTCACTCCTCTGACCTCGAGTGGTCATTCACTTTTCAAAACCTCATGAATTGATACGGATGGATACTCATTCTCAAGAGCATTCTCGTAGTAAACAAGCAATGTCAAAAAGTATTTCCGCTGACTCTCGAGATCGCGGTACCTGGATAGGCGACATCCAGGCGGCGGTGGCTCGCAAGAGAGCAAACCGTCTCAGGAAAAGAGAGTAGGAAAAGTAAACCTCGGTGTGGTCGACCCGGGCTCCCGGACCGGAACTCACCCACTGCCGGTATCATGCGCTCGAGTCTATTAGAATGACGGAGACCGAGAGTCAACAAACTCAATTGATAGACAAATATCTCGCTGGCGTCGCAGAAGCTTCTCATCACGAGTCTTGTATTGTGACGTTGAAGTTTAGCGCCGGAAGGACGGCGTCAAATTCGCCCAACCACCTGATCAGATCATCACTTCAAAAGATGACCCCACGACTCAGGGCATCAGCGGCGCTGCCGGTGGGCATTCTGTTCCTCAGAAGTTCGATTGCAAGCGAGAGCGAGTTCTGGCCAAGCCGGATTAGGATTGCGAAAAGAACAGCGGGGATTCGGGGGGGACGGGGAAAGCGAGAGATATGCGGGCTAGCTAATCACGGCAGTGTCTTGGCTTTCTCCGACCCCGTTCAGCCAACCCAGGATCTGCATTCAGAGCGTGGTAGGGGCAATAGGCAGCAAATTAGACTTTTTTGCCAAAGGACTGAACCTGACTAGGCTCGACTTATTCGCGGGTTCCGGCCGGCCAACACGTCGGGGTGTCGGGTTGGAATACGCGGATAGCTCGCTGTCTCTCCCTCAGCCCCCACGTGATGGCATGGCACTTTTCTCTTTGCAGTCTCTTCATGGAGATGGGTGTTCCTAGGAAAAAGGGAAAAGGGGACCGAAGTTCTGCATCTGACATAAACAATCATCGCAAATTGACTCCCCGCGATCTGTGAGGCGTTTTCATTGTACAGTCGCGACAACTCGACAGCCCTCTCTGTGAGCAGACGCAGATTGTCTGCTGAGAGCGCAATCTCACGCCCGATTCACTCACCGGCCTCCCGCTCACCTTTTTATGAGGGCCGTTCCGCGACATCCGACACCGTAGCAACCGCCAGGAAGAGGCCCCATCATCAACCCGTCCTCACAATCTCCGTGAACTGTCAACCATGACCGAGCCCTCGTCCGCCGACAATGGCGGCGGCATCGTAGGCCGCGTCCGGGGCGCGTCCCTCTCCATCATGAACGCGAACCCGCAATTGGGCATGTGGCAGGCCGCCGGCACAGCAATCGCCCAGGCGCCGAATCTCACCGAGCTCCGCGACCCCGAATCCGGCGGCGACAACATCGCCTTCACGGCGCAGGGCCACTCGGCGCGCTACGCCGTCCAGGAACCCCACGGCGACCTGGCGCTCATCCGATCCAACACGAGCCGGCGCGCGTCGACGTTTTCTATTAATGGGCAATCGTCTGCCGGTGGGCGAAACGTGTTTAACGACAAATCAGAAAATATCAGAGAAACGGACGAACCCGCTGTGCTGAATGAGACTTCGGACGAAGCACGGCCGGGGACGGGGACGCATGATGAGAGCCTGCTGCCCAGCGAGGGTCAGCAGTTCCAGCGGCGACAGAGTCTGTATCAGAAGCACGCGGCGGAGGAGAAGGCGCCGTGGAAGACGACCATTGCCAATGGGTTGAAGGCATTTTGGAAGTTCTTCCTCACGCCGTCAGGGTTTGTCATCACCATCTACTGCTTGAATATTGTCGTAAGTATTCGCACCTTGACTGTACGGCCTCCTGTAAATGAGACATGCTAACATGAGTTGACTCTTAGGCCTGGGGAGTAAGTTCACATCATGGTGTATGAAAATGAATCTGTCCGTACTGACCCACCCTCCCAGGCCATGCTCTTCTTCCTCCTCCTCAAGGCCGCACCAGCAATGAACTACCCAACCGCCGACGACGATAACTCACCCCGCAAGAAGTGGCTCGAAATCTCCAGTCAGATCCTCAACGCCCTCTTCTGCGTAACGGGCTTCGGTCTCGCGCCCTGGCGCTTTCGCGACCTGTACTGGTACATCCGCGCCGTCAACTTCAAGAACCAGGCGGCGATGCTCAAGCTCGCGGCGCAGAATAAGAGCTGGTTCCGGCCGCCTGCGTGGGCTCTTCAGGGCGAGAAAGCGCCTGAGACGTTTACCGGCCAGGTCGCGCCGCCGACGGCGCTGTGGAAGCTGGGGTTCACGATTTGGATGATGGTTTGGAATACGTTCTTGCAGGCTGTGTTGTGCTATTTCATGTGGGGATACAACCGACTTGATCGACCTGTGAGTACCCTCTTTGACTCTACTAATGGGCGGTACGCCGTAATCATGGTGTCGGACCCGACTTTGTGAATGGGACTAACAAACGAGTCCAGTCATGGGCTACTGGCACCTTCATCGGCTTGGGATGCGGTGTCGCTATGCTTGCCGGTCTCATGTCCTGGTGGGAAGGCCGGAAGGTGAAGCAGATTGAAGGACCAGAGGTCAAGGTCGTTGAAGGAGAGCCCGGAGAGGTGTAATACATAATTTCTAATTTAGTGTTACCTGGCATAAGGTACATGTAGACATAGGGGTGGCCTGAGAGGTAGACTCATCCTTGATTTTAGAGCGATGTGAGTTGCACGAGGCAGCTCACGACTACGATGGATAATGATATGTAGATACAGCATCCGCACCCGAAGTCGCAGGGCTTCTTTCAGTCTTTCGGTCTATTCAAGCCAGAGAGCTCTCAACATATAGCTTGACAGTTTGGAGCATCGAAGGTCTGCCTATCGAGCTAAGTTGATGCCCCGGCTCAAGGTGACCTCCAGGGTAGTGAGTGTGAGAGCGCAATGAGGCTCATATGAGCTGCCAACAAGCTGACGAGGGAACTGCAGCAATCCAACGGATTCACCTAATACCTTAAACCCATATGGAAGTTTTGTTATTGTAAACGCCATTTTATGGCATTCAGAACTCATACGAAGTTATCATATTCGAGGTCCAGTGAGCTTTCGCATATGAAGGTTTGAAGGCAACCTTCCTTACCAAGGTACACTAATACAGGGCGATCTCACTGCTCTCCCACGCTCCTCTACACAAAGTTATGATTGACTTATCTAGACTTCCGATAATCGGAATAAGGTTAAAATATTACCATTCACTCACAACTAATCCCATGACAAGTTACGGGTATAATATCGCGGCATGAACCAGACGTAATTTCGACAGCACGGGCATGGATATCTAGAGTACTTCCATTTCCACACGATAAGCGGCCGGACCAAAGTACCTCAAGATATAGCTGGCCTGTGCTTTTGCCACCCCACAAGCGTCACGCGGGATTGAATTAGTAGTCTCGCGATGCCTCGGATCTTCTTTCCATTATCTCTTTACTACTCGTCTTCATCTTCACTTCTTTTCACTTTTACTCTACAACCCAAGGCTCAAGCCGACAAGATGTCTATATCCCAGGCATCACTCTCGGTCGCAATCTTGGCCTCCACCATCGGAACCTACATAGGCCTCCTAAACCCCAACCCCGAACCACCTCAGAAACCAAACGATGACCTTCACCACCACAACCACCATCACCATCACCAACCGCAAACCAAACACGCAGACTCGATCCGCTGGATGCACCTCACCCACAGACACACCCCCAAAGTAATCCTCCTCCCCCTCGCCCTCCTCTCCCTCCACCTCGCCGCCCTCACCCTCTACACACCCAACATCCCGCCCTCCATCCTCCGCAACGGCGCCGAAAACGGCCTCAGCGCCTCCCTAACAACCTGGTCCGCCTCAACCCTCCTCCCGCTCGCCGCAATCTTCTTCGCCGGCGTCCCGCTCCGCCTCGGGCCCTACCGCTCCCTCGGGAAAAACTTCACCTTCCAGCTCACGAAACCGGATCAGCTCAAGACGACGGGGATTTATCGGTACCTCCAGCACCCGAGCTACACGGGCGTCATCGTTCTCGTGCTCTCCAATGTCGCGCTGCTGGCTAGGCTCGACGGCGTGCTGAGCTGCTGGGTTGCGCCGGCGTGGCATCAGGGGTTGAGGAGCGTGCAGTGGGTTCTCGGTCCTGCTGCGTGCTGCGTGTTTTTGTTTGGGGTGTGGACGAGGGTGAGGGAGGAGGAGGGCATGCTGAGGGAGGAGTTTGGGGAGAAGTGGGAGAGGTGGCATGCTTCCACGGCGCGGTTTGTGCCGTATATATTCTGATTTGCGGCGTTTGTGTTATGATTGTTGTGTTTAATATCCATGGTAGACTAGACTATTCATTTCGAACATTTACTTGATGACTTTGAATATGTGAAATCTATTTTGGACTCTTCCATCTCTGGGTAGATGTCGCTTTCAGCATGTCAGTCCTGGAATGGGCTTAATAGAAAAGTTAGTCTTCTCTTCTTCTCTCAACACTCCTCATCTGCCTCCATCACGAACTTGAAACCCATAACTTCAACTCCCAACACTTCATCTTAAAGACAACCAACTTCCCAATCACCACTCACCTCCCTCAATAATCTCCGCTGCAAACCATCCCAGTCCCCGAGCTCCCCAAGTTCCACAACAGAATGGATCCAACCAACAACCAATCCACAACACCAAAAACCATGCATATTGCTCCACACCTAGGGCCACACACCCTCCACCACAGTTTGCATCCTTCCATGAGCACCTCACCGTCGTCAAATCATCATCCAATCAACAAGGCAAGATGGCCGAGCGGTCTAAGGCGCTAGCTTCAGGTGCTAGTCAAGTAATTGGCGTGGGTTCGAATCCCACTCTTGTCAACTCATCACCGCTCTGATGCGTTATTCTTTTGTCTTTTTGGCTTTGGTGTGTGGGGAGGTTGATTTTTGCAGTATTGGGTGGATTATGGGTGTACGTGACGATAGGAAGTCACTTGCGGGGTTAACCGTCATTGAGCGAGTTGATGTAAGGTAGGTATGATGAAGTCGAAGTAGACATGCGGGCATGCTGGCAGACCTTTGCCAAGTGTCGTTCTCAAAGTCCTTGATGCAAGATAAATCAAATTGGATATCGGAGCCCCTTGAAAATCAAAGGACAGACTACCAATAACACGCTATCCATATCAACTCCAAACCGAGTTCATGCCTCGTGTTGTGCCATGCGTGACCACGAGTTCAGGCATCTCAAAGCTGTGATACCCCATTCTGGCGATCAAGTTTCGCCTTCTCCCTCTTGGCATCCGCAATCTTGATACTCAACTTGACAGGCTTGCCGCCCGGCGTCTCAAAGATGGTATCAATCTCCTCCAGGTTCAGCTTACTCGTCTCAGGGAAGACGTAGTAGCTAATAATAATCTGAATAAAGTTGTACACAATGTACACGGCCCAGATCTTGTACCCAACTTTCCCGACGCCGATGCCGATACCATAGTTGTGCACCACGGCCGCGATGGCCTGGAACATGGCAAACAGGCCCATGCCCTTGGCACGCAGCGGCAGCGAGAGCAGCTCGACCGGGTAGAGGTTGTGCATGGTCGCGATGAAGGTGGCGCTGCAGACCTGGAAGAGGTAGATCCAGACGACCGTCAAGATGGCCGTCGTCTTCTGCTCGCTGAGGTTATACTGCCAGCTCGTGATGGTGACGGCAATCTGGGCGCAAATCATGCTAATCAGTCCGGCGAAAATGAGGGTGCGACGACGGAAGTAGTCGATGATATAGGAGCCGAAGAGAGTGAAGACGAAGTAGATCGCCGTCGAGCCGAGGCTGATGCCGAGTTGGTCGAGTTGCGAGGTGATGCCGATTGTGTCGAGCGCGGGAGCCAGGTAGTATCCGATGATGCCACCACTGTTGTTGATTTATGTTAGCATTGTCAGCAATAAAGAGCGAGGGGGTTCAGAGAGATAACGTACCCATTCCACTGTTGGAAAACAGCGTAGACAGCCAGGACAACGGTGCGGAACCACACGGCCTTGGTGAAGAAGACCCGGAAATCCCAGGTAGCGCGGAACCCAGCCTTTGTGGTCTCGATAGACTCCTCAATCTGCAGGATCATGAGGTCGACAATCTCGTGGTTGATGTCGTTGTCGGTCGTCATGTACCTTGCCACGACGCGACGGGCTTCCTCCTTCTTGCCGCGCATGTAGAGGAAACGAGGCGACTCTGGGCACACGAGGTAGATTGTGACACACACGAAGAGAGGGAAGATGGCCTGGATGAAGAAGGCTATCCGCCACTGCCAGTCGCTGTCCCATTTCGTCAAACCCATCATGATACCAATCATCATCAGCGAGCCGACCTGGAAACACGCGCCAAAGACACCAACGAGGCGACCACGAAGATGTACAGGCGCAAGCTCGGCAACGTACTGCGGCGCGGTGCAAAGCGCTGTGCCGAATCCAAGGACGAGACGGCCGATGAAGAGACAGGCCAGGTTCGGGGCCATGGCCTGCATGATAGCAGCGATGATGACGAGAGCGTTGCCGAGGAAGTTGACACCCCGGCGGCCGAGGACGTCGGCGCAGCTCAGGAAGGGAGCACCCAAGAAGCCACCAATTTGCATCAGGGCGTTGATCGTGGAGATGATGACACCAGCGTTGCCGAACCCGTAGAAGTCGTGCCATCGGTCGTTGGAGTTGATTCCGCTGATGACACCCCAGTCGATACCGAAACTATTCACAGAATGATCAGCACCATCATCCCTTTACCTCCGTCAAAGACAAACAGGATCCGTTGTTTTCTTACCCTGCTTGGTTGCAGCCCATCACGAGCATGTATCCAAAGATGTAAAGGCCGGTCTTGGACTTCAGTGTAAGGGCCTCAGCTGACTTACGCATCATGTCAGCCTCTGAGATGCGGGTTGCCGCAACTTCTTCGACGGCAACACCAATCTTATTCGCCTGGGCGACATCGTCGTGAAAGATGACCGTGTGGTCAACATCTTCTCGAGGCGCCATGATTGGCTAGACGGTCTTGCTTTGGCGCAGAAGACCGCTTCGTGAAGTCTCGTCAGGTGAGGATCGAGGCAAATGGAAACGCGGGTGAAGAAACGAGAAGCCCGAGTCTCTGGGACCGTAGGATCTCAGGTTGCAGCGGTGCCTCGGCGGATATATAGAGGTTCCCCAACCTCAGCTCTGGGAGCGGGAAGACACGACCAGAAGGGCTGCTTTCATCCTGCACTGCTACCCTTCTAGTGCAACACGGAATGGCCTTCCGATAGCTGGGTCTCGAACCCTGAAGAGGGATGCGATCCCCAGACTCTCAGACGTTCCAACTGGCCATGTGGTTCACATGAGATGCTCCTTGCAGCACGAACCAGTCCAAATCCACTGCCGATTCCCCTTCCTTTGCCTCTAGAGCAGCCTCTGTATTTCCCTTAGATCCACTCAACAGCTCAGACAGCATCGGCTTTGTCTGATGATGATTGGCCGGGGCGGTTGTAAACATGCAGTTGGATCAGACAGGCATCACATCCCTCCGGAATGAGCATATTCGGTCTGCTTTCACCCGTGATGATTGGCTCGAGGCAAACGGCCGGCCGGCTACCCCACACTCCCCGAGCCAATTTTCCTCAAATGATACGACGCCGAGGCTTCTACCCCAGTCCATCGTGGGTTGTCTGGGGTTAAAGTCGCCTAGGGCCGCCCGGCTCTCATCGTCTTTGAAAGAGGGCTTTTGGACGGCCAAAACAGATTCTGATCACCAGCTCATCAGAGTTTTGTCTCTTCCCCAACCCCGTTTGTCTTGGAAGTTTGCGGTCCAGACTAGACCAGAACGTCTCTCGAAGTAGTCCAATCCGGGCACCGGCATACCGGCACGTCGTTCCCAGGCAAAATGCCCCCCGTTCATGGTCCAGAAAGCTTCGGCTCCGGCTCCGGCGAGGGCCGATCTCCCAGTTCCTCGCGTCTCCACTACCAGTCCCCCGCCTCCGAATGGTCTGAAGCTCTACCAATCGGCAACGGGCGGCTGGGTGCCATGGTCTATGGGCGAACTGATACCGAGCTCTTGCAGTTGAATGAGGACTCGGTGTGGTACGGCGGGCCGCAGGATAGGACACCGAAGGACGCCCTCCGCCACTTGCCGACACTCCGACAGCTCATCCGAGATGAAAAGCACGCCGAGGCCGAGTCTCTCGTGCGAGAGGCCTTCTTCGCGACGCCCGCCAGCATGCGACACTATGAACCGCTGGGCACTTGCACCATTGAATTCTGTCACTCCACTGAGAATGTCACGGACTACCGCCGATACTTGTGTCTGGAAACCGCGCAGATGACTGTCGAATATCGATGTCGTGGTGTCTCTTACCGTCGAGACACCATTGCCAGCTTCCCAGATAATATTTTGGCGTTTAGGATCACGGCATCGGAGGCCGCTCGATTCGTCATTCGACTGAACCGAGTCAGCGAGATTGAGTGGGAGACCAACGAGTTCCTCGACAGCATCGACGCAGTGGACGGGCAGATTACACTGAGTGCGACGCCTGGCGGACGGAATAGCAATCGATTGTCTATTATTCTCAAGGTTTCTTGCGATGACGCTGCAGGATCCGTAGAGACTGTCGGTAACTGTGTCGTGGTGACCTCTTCAGCGTGTACGATTGCCATTGGTGCTCAGACGACCTACCGAGAGAACGAACCCGAAGAAGCCGCTAGGGATGATGTCCTCAAGGCACTGAAAACCCCGTGGGCCACACTGGTTGAACGTCATCAGGTGGACTATCGGAACCTCTTTGGTAGAACGACGCTTCGTATGTGGCCTGATGCCGACCATCTCCCAACAGATCAGCGAATCAAACAGAACCGAGATCCCGGGCTGATTGCTCTATATCAGAATTACGGTAGGTATTTGCTCATTTCGGCAAGCCGAGACTCTGTCAAGGCGCTGCCTGCGACGCTGCAAGGCATCTGGAACCCTTCTTTTGCTCCACCTTGGGGATGCAAGTATACCATCAACATCAACCTCCAGATGAACTATTGGCCGGCCGGACCGTGTAACTTGACCGAATGTTCTGTTCCGATGCTCGACTTGCTAGAGCGCATGGCAGAGCGAGGGAAAAAGACGGCAAAGACCATGTACGGCTGTGGAGGATGGTGTGCGCATCACAACACTGATATCTGGGCAGATACAGACCCCCAAGACCGATGGATGCCCTCTACTATCTGGCCTCTCGGGGGTGTCTGGGTTTGTATCGACATATTTGAGATTTTGCAGTACCAGTATGACGAGATCCTTCACAGGCGAGCCGCAACTGTCTTGGAGGGTTGTATCGTTTTTCTTCTCGACTTTCTAGTGCCATCAGCTTGCGGCACATACTTGGTAACGAACCCATCGCTATCACCCGAGAACACCTTCATCTCTGATTCAGGCGATGCTGGTATTCTCTGCGAAGGTTCCGCCATCGACATGACTATTGTTCGAATAGCCTTTGAGAGATATCTTTGGAGTACTGATAAACTGCGCGTTAACAGCCAGTTGCGAACCAAGGTGATAGAGGCCCTCGGCAGGGTGCCCGAGTTGTCTGTCAACGCCGACGGCTTGATACAAGAGTGGGGAGTAAAGGACTACAAAGAGCTTGAGCCGGGCCATCGACATGTCTCCCACTTGTTTGGGTTGTACCCGGGAGAAAGCATCAGCCCTGGGAGATCTCCAGAACTAACGACTGCTGCAAAAAGAGTACTGGAACGAAGAGCAGCGCATGGAGGTGGGCACACGGGGTGGAGCAGGGCTTGGTTACTCAATCTCCATGCTCGCCTCCTGGATGCCGAAGGCTGCGGTCAGCATATGGATATGCTGCTTAAGAGCTCGACGTTGCCAAACATGCTCGATAATCACCCGCCGTACCAGATTGACGGCAACTTTGGTGGGTGTGCCGGCATCCTCGAGTGCTTGGTTCAGTCCAGTGTCTCGCAAGATACCACAGAGAAACATGTAGTCGAGATTCGACTTCTCCCGTCATGTCCCATAAGCTGGCCCGATGGTGAGCTTTCACGGGTTCGAACTAAGGGTGGATGGCTCGTGACGTTGGAATGGCAGAGCAGCAGTATCAAAGAGCCGGTATTGGTGGAATACCCTAGTGCTGAAAATGCTGAGGCTCAAGTTGTTTTCCCCGATGGTTCTCGGACTATTGTGTGTGGCGGTGCGCCATTGTCCAAGCAATATGTAGAGCGCCAAGGATAGAAAGGCTAGAATTGTTGATGATCCCAGCCACTTTCATCAATAGACGGACGGCAGAGCTTCGAAGCTTTTTGAGGTTGCTCATGATTCTACAAGCAATCTTCTCATTCATCGTCAGCTCAATTTCGATTTGCCGCGCATGCGAATACACATGATAAGTCTGTTGCTGCGTATTTTTCCAGAATACGGACGCTCGTCCCGAAAGATTTGCGGAGTTTGGCCTTGAGGAGAATTCGGGTGAAGATGATAAATTGGCAAGACAACAACACATGGACCCCTCATTTCCCACGTTTATTTGGCGACCGAGATTTCAGTGCCGCGGCGAACGGACGTTGTCTGCAGGGCGCAGATGGCCCGAGAGTCGGCACTATGACCGCCACTTCCGAGCGGTTGGCGTGAAACATTGGAGACTTTGTAGTTGGGAGCCTTTTTCAGTCAAAGGGCCGTGGTATCGGCGCGAGATGGATCTTTTGGTCATTGGATCAGGGTCCGCCGAGAGGTTGCACATGCGCCGGCCGTCCGGTCCGTTACGACGATATCGATTGGACGGTTGTATCGGAAGCGACATGAGGACGGAGGGGACAACTTGTATCTGCGACGGGTGTGACGATCGCCGGCCGGGCAGAAATTGGCGACGGAAAATGCGCGGAGCACTGGAACGGAGCTCCCTGCTTATTGAGGAGGATCTCCCGCGTGCGTATCCGTTGGACTAGTGCAACTTTGAACTAGTGAGCCGGTAATTTTTGGAAGGTTAGGTGCATGAGAGGATGACCTAGGATTTTGGTGAGCAAATGGGCGACTTTCTTAGCTTTGTAGAGTTGATGGTGGCATGAGACGGATGGATTTCCAGTGTCATGCGGATGGGACACTGGACCTTGGCGCTTAGGCGTCTGAAACATGGCATCCGAACCTTTCTGCTGGTTCCCGCGAGTGATGTGACTTGTTTCTTGTTTTCTTTTTCTTCCCGAGAGGCTAGGACAATCAGCATCGCAGCTTCGATCGGCGCCAACGCGGCTGCGCCTGTGCAGAGCAACCTCGAAGCGTCTAACAGGTCGCAGTCCAATGTCGTGCAGATGCCAGAGCCAGCGAAAGCAACAGCAAGCACCGACCAGGCGGGTGGGCACCATAGCCGCAGCAAAGGAACTCAAGGCAGTTGGTGCCAGTGGTGGGCCGGAAAGGATCAGTGCATTGCATGAACCGAAACTTGGGATGACCCTGATACGGTGATCAAGTCAGCCCGGGAGTGGCCCTGCTCGCTGCCGTCGACCCGTCGTCATCCGAGGATTGAGATTGGAATTGGGGGTCAAAGTCTCTTTGGTCTGGCCTGTTGGTTGGGTTTCTCGTTGCTGAGTCCGTCTGTAGGCTGCGCTCAGTCACTGGCATAGTTTCGGGGCGCGTTTGCAGAGGGTCAGAAAACAATGACGCGGGAGGAGCTTTAAGGCGTCCGATTTGACGAAGGCGGACAATGAGTGAGACAGATGGTCTTTGGTGTGTCGACTTGCTCTACTTCCACCTAGGCATTAAGATGGTTTTCGCGTGGCGCATTGTACAAGGCGTCTCCGCCGTGATGTGGATGATCGCCGCCAGCCATATGGCAATAGCTTCATCGTGGACATGTATTGAGAAAGAGCCCAAGGTGGATAGACTGAGGAGTTAGGAGTGTCCTGGTAGGGAAGACTAGACGTTGATCGAAGAAATAATGCGGGTGGTTGAAGCTTGAAATGACTCCTCTGCTGCCAGCGGATGTTGCAGGAGTAAAATGACGAAGGAGGGGCAGCGACAACACACACCAAGTATCCACGGTACGTATCTTTCTCCCAGGAAGATGGAAGGTGAGGTCGTCGACGGGTGCAGCGGTACGTACATCGCTCACGGAGATGCTCAGGGCAGGTGGTGTTTCCTCTTGAGGGCAGTTGCCAAAAAAAGGTACACTCTCCACCGTCAAGGTCCCCATCCAGCGCTGTGATTGGCAGGACCAGCCAGATGAGTCCCTTCCTGCGTCTTTTCCCGCGCCTACCTTAATACTACACAGTAAACGAGAGTGCCTTAGGTAAGGAGATATTACATAATCGTCGTCAGCCACTCACCTTTTGTTGCCCGTGGTAGCAGCCAGTGGTCCTGAACAGGACTAGCGCGCTGCCACGACAAGGGGTGACAGGGGGCAACCCGCAACAGCAACAACGACGACCACCACACACACCACACGCCCGTCGCCCACACGCCCACTCGCACACTCCACGCCCACTCACGCCTGACCGACATCAACATTGCACCGACCTTTCCCTTTCCTGTCCACTCCCGTCCTGTCCCAGCCATGCCCAGCTGTGTGTCCAGTCAGTCCAGTCCCTGAAAGTCTTGTGTCGCCGATAGCGAGCGTGCAGATGCATCTCTCTTCCGCCGACATCTCGACACCGACGACGACAACGACGACTACGACTTCGACAAACAACGACCACGGCCACCGATAACCGACCACCACCGATCGACGACACAGGTAAGTCTTCGACGCCCAGTATCAACATCGACAACCACCCACGCGACATTCCGGGCCTTTCCATTCTTCCATTTCGACATCCTCCTTTTCCGAGTCGGGCTCTTCGTCTTTCCCACGCTTTGATACGACACTCCCAACCACCCACAACAACACTTGGAAGTCGGTACGTGCGATGTTTTCTACCATCGATCGCGTCAAATCTGGCGAGCGATAGAAGGCTGACGACAACGACACAATAGCACGCATTTGACGACTTTGACAATCATTCACATCGACGACTACAATTTTCATTTGTATCACTTCAACAACTTCTATTTGCGACCGCAGCGAGTGCCCCCACCTCGAACGTTTTGCGCCCACCACCACCACCAAACCCAACCACCCACAGTTACTCGCCCGATAACCGCCGAGCATCACATGCGATCCGAATAAACATCGCGACGGCGGCACAATCACAACAACCATGGCAGAGCCACCATCCTCACCGCCCAGCGAGGCGATGAGCCCTGAAGATCAGCTGCGCTGGTACAAGTCTCAGTATGCATCACTCGAGGAGGAACTGTCCGAGTTCAGGGAGTCCAGCAAAGAGCTAGAGCAGGAGCTCGAGAAGGATATCGAGCAGGCCGAAAAGAGGGAGCGCAAACTCCAGGAAAAGGCAGAGAGCCTCAAGTTCGAGGCCGAGGAGTGGAAGGTGAGATCATACTCTCTCCCGCCGGTTACCGTTTATCGGCGCGCATATCACATACCGAGAGATGTTCAGTTCTAACTGACCTTTCCCTCCAGTCAAAATACAACCAAGCCAAGAAGGATGCGAATACGGCTCAAAACACCCTGGAAAAGGAAATCACAACACTGCGCGACACCAACAGGACACTCCAGCTCAAGCTACGCGATATCGAGGTCGCCAACGATGATTTCGAGAGACAGGCACGGAACACCAGCTCCTCCCTCGAGGACCTCGAATCCAAGTTTAACAGTGCGATCGAGCGCAACGTCATGATGGAGGAGGAGATCAAAATCGGTGAACAGGAGCGAGAAACGCTGCGCATCGAGGCGCAACGCCTGCGCGAGGAGCTTTCCGACCTCAAGATTGAGGCCGAGGTGCTCCAGGACAAGATCAAGAAGCAGGAGCAACGTCATCTGTCCGCCATATCCACCGACCTTTCCGTTCTTTCATCCCCCGTTTTCGACAAGACCCTCGACGCCTCCCCCGGCTCGACCGCGAGCTCGCCCATGGTATCGACGCCGCCCGATGCGGAAGCTCTCCCTGCTGCCAAACCCGCCCAGATCAGCGAGCCTCCATCCCCGCCAATGTCCGACGTCTCCGCCTCCGTACCCAAGAGGATTGTCTCCCGAACACCCCTCAAGACCCCGGCCAAGACTCCGGCATCGGCGACTCGCAAGTCGCGTCTGCCGTCCACCGAACACAGCATCACGCCCAAGCCTCGTTCATTCACGACATCAGTGAGCAGCACCCGGCCGTCTGGAGGTCGTCCCTCAACCGGGCCACCGACACGCACACCTGCTCCTCGCACCGCCCCTCGCTCCATCTCCACCCGCATGCCCCCCAAGCCTGCCAACAACTCTCTCGCCCACATCAGAACCCTTACAGCTCAGATGCAGCGTCTGGAAGCTCGCGTACACAATGCACGATCGAAGCTGCCTGCTCCCGTCACAACACCACCTCGAGCCTCACCCCGCTCCTCGGTTCTCGGAGTCCACAGCGTACCGTCAACGGTTACTATCCGCTCACGGAAACGTCCCAGTGGCTCCACCGCCTCATCAGTACGGGGCGACGACACTACGCCATCCAACCCCAACTTCTCTGCCAGCACACGATCCAAGCATGTACCTCGTCTTAGCACGTCAGGTGTCAGCCGGTTGTCTTTTGGCCCGCTACCGAACCGAAACCCAGGGGCTGGTCTTGAACACAGCGATTCCACAACGTCTCGGCCGAGCTCACGGGCTAGCATCTCGTCGTACGCCAGGCCATCAAGTCGCACAGAAATGGCACCGCCCCGTCCCATCAGCCGCACCAGTATGTCTGGCACCCGGACACCCCTGGGTCGTCCTCGCAGCTCCTTGGGTGGCAGCCTGCATGCGCGCTCTGCTAGTATCAGCAGCCGCATCGATATTGACGAGGGCGACGAAAATGGCGAATTCAGAACACCTAGCAGGAGAGGCACGTATTCTCGCCTAGAGGCAGAAAACTCTGTGAGCGGTATTCCAGCCCCTACAAGCGGCATCCCGATGCCAAGCGGGAGACGGCAAAGCGGAGGAAGCGTCTCAGGGAGACGAAGCTCGATGGGCCTGAGGAGTTCCATCATGGGCGCTCAGGATCAACTCGTTGAAGAGGAGACGTACTAGGCAGGGTTGAATCAAACCATCACAGGAGGGGGATTACTTGATACCAACAGAGCAGCACTGTTGCTTCTGACTACTTGACCCGGTGCATATGCAGTCGGGCCATGGGCAGCTGCGCAATCACAGCGAGCAACATACATACCCTCATTTCCAAAAGAGAAGAGAGACGAGAGAGTCTCATTCTTTTCTTCATATCATTTCCTTTGTTCATTGCTACTTCATGACTACGGGGTTTCCAGGGCAGGCGTGTGGATACAAACTGCTGCATCCGAGGCGTTGGTATGATTCTAGGGTTTCAAACGGGGGATACAGCATGGCGGTGCCTTCTTTTCGGTTCTTCTCTCTTGCTTTTCGCACTCCGGGGGAATACCTTTTTGTTGACACGCAAGCGAAACTGCTACAACTACAACTCACTTTCACAACTACCAAACACGCACACCGAAACACCTCCCCCCCCCCCCAAAGATCCGTCGAAACATACCTTGGTCTGAATATACTGGTTTATTACTTCATGATGTGCTGCTTGAGTTCCATTGAGGCAGGTGTTTGTGAGTAACGTATCGGTCAAGTCTGTGACGATGAGAAAGGGATGTAGCATCGGGCTAAGTACGGTGAAGGGCGTGATGGTTGAGAGGTATTTCTGGGGAGCGGGCACCTGTACAGCCGAAGTTCTGCTCCAAACACTGCGACACCAATGTCGGCACTCGACGCGGACAGAGTACTCATGTGCCCAGCCAAGGCTATGTGAACACTGTATTGTTTGTCAATGAAGATCAGACGAAGGTCGCGTGATGTGTTTCCCGGGTTCAGTTTGTCGCCGATTCGGCGTTGCGTCGGTGGTAGAGGAGAATGGGGTGGGTGGGGTGTGGTGGAGTGGGTGAGGCCGACCGACTGACCCCGCGCCGGTTCCTGTCCGCCGTTCCGGTTTGTGTTTGTGGAGGGGCCGAGTTTTGGGCAAGGTTGAATCTGCGTGCCGAGTAGTGAATTAATCAAGAGCCTCCCAGACAAATCAGATAGACAAGAATCCTTGACGAAGTGAATGGATTGCTCTTCAATCAGGATGCGCCGGATGCCACTCTACATGGATGATTTACTTACTTACTGGTGCTGTTTATTGGGGTGGCCGGTGTGTATCGTTACACAGACAAGCACTCTCCCGCGCATTCACCACAGCAAAAATAAACAAAATCACCTACACAAAAGCCATCAAACAAACCAAACAAAAGGTACTGTTCCCACACCGAGGTTCGAACTCGGGTCTCTCCGGTAAGTTGTCAGAATCGCAGACTGAAAGCGGAGTATCCTAACCACTGGACTATATGGGACTTTTCATGGGTTGGTGACCTTGATGAGGTCGTGGTGGATCTCTACTGCTCGTGGTCCAAGTAGGTGCTTTGGTGATGACGGCCACATTTCTTAGCTTGCCACTGCGCACAATGACGCCGCCTCTTTTCGGTTGGAATGAATTGCGAAAGAGTTGATATATGCATGGATAAGATAGGAGTTCATTTTGAGGTGTAGAATTTAGACTGGACAGGTCTTGGGGGGCTTCGTTCAGGTTATTCAACTCTAGATGCATATATTGCATGACGAACCATTTTATCACGAATTCAAAACGATGGTCCTTAAACGAGGAAAATAGCCACACCAGCTGACGTTTGTTGAAATATCCACTTATCCCGTCAATCCAATCCGAGAACCTCTAGAGAACTTTCCCCAAGTTTCAGAATCTCATTATCTCGCTTTTTTGTATACATCTTTGCTGAACCACGCATCCAAAGACCGTTTATCCATCACCACATATTACTAGGTCACACACGGGGGGAACACCAACTCAACCCACGCAAAGGATCTTATCCTTCCATCCCAAGGACAATGATACTAATCTAACTGTATCATTCTGTCGTGGCCGCTGCCGTGGTGCGACTTGATCATCGAGCTCAACTCATAACGCATCCTTCAACACGACTATCCTACTAAACAGCCAGACACGGAAGAAGCCGCGCTGTCAGCCTTGTCCCCTAGTAAAGCTCACTAGACTTGAGCAAATATTTCCACAACAGAAGACAGAGAATCCGCCGAATAGACATGTTCTTCTTGCAATGATTCTGCCCAGATGAGGTACTTCATTGGGGTGCTGATCTCATCACCTTTGTATGTGTTGTCTCATGCACACATGTCGCGGACTACGTTCATTGTACTGGCTTGAGTAAAGACCATGAAGACTCGGCCAATCCGCCCATGTACCTCCTGCAGGCGTGTCACTCGCTATACCTTGAACGTGGCATGCGCAGATCTGCCGAAGCAAACATATCTACAACTACGCGCAAGCACCTTGAGGTCTGACGTGCGACACACAGCTCCAATATTTACTGGAGACCTGTCATAAGACACGGGAACCACCTGTCGACGAGGCTTGTCTAAGGGAGGAATCCAAAACCAGAACCAAGGCCGCGGCTTCGGTGCTGGCTGTTTCGTTTCGTGAGTCGGTTTCTCTAAAGGTAGTGTCCTGGCACGTGCGTGCAGAATATCATACGGCGGGTCGCCGGGTTGCCTTTCAAGCTTCGATACATCCCAAAGACTGTAGGTACAGAGGCAGCCATCCCAGCTCTGGAACTTTGACATCCGCTGGCCGTAGAGAAGTAGCTTGCGGGGTGCGCAGAGAGAACCAGGTCATCGACATCAAACAAGACATTCGTCCCAGTCTCGGCTTTGAATAGCACTTGGCCTCATCTCATCCAACTGTCACGAGCGGCATGCCAAGTGGCCAAACCTATCTGTACGTCGCTTGGCTAAACTTGCTGTGCAGATGCGGTCTCAGAGTAACGGTTGACTACCTACAGTGACGCACGTACCTGCAAACCCAGTTCGGACGGGCAGGCTAAGACCGGCGTTCAGAGCCGCTCGAGACACGATGCGGTCGGCAGTCGAGCTGCAGGCGCAGTCCTATGTGGCTCTGGTGAGTAAGACTGTGGGGTAGCCACGATCTGAACGACGAAGGTTGATTGAGGAAGCGTGGACGTATTTGTAGGCAACGGCTTGTCATGTCAAGATGCGGCTGGAAAGATCTGTAAATGACCTTGGATCAGAGATCTGTAGATTACCTTTGATCAACGTCCCGTTAATGGTGCTGCTAAATTCAGTGTCAGCAAACGCCGTCTCACCGGCGCTGGCTCCCGCCCATCGGCGTCACAGGTCGGAGCTGAAGAGGGAAGCCTGGCTATTATTAGGGGCACGAGCAGTCCGTCCGCTCCGGCTAGGAGAGATGGACGTCAATGGTGGGGCCCGTCTCTTTTGGGGAGTCCCGCCTCTCTGAGATCAAAAAAAGGACGAAGGATGATGACCGGAAGTGGGCGCGTCAGATTACGCGCAGTACGTCCCCAGCTTTGACAGGATCGGATCTGCTCGCCCCGTCTTTAGCGCGGCCAAGTAGGTATTTGTAGGAAGCTAGTGTAGCATCCGCTCTGCTCTCCGAACGAGGCGCCGAGGACGGGACGGCCTGAGGGGCCAATGCTCGGTGATATCCTCGCTCTGGGGCGTATTGGTTGACAGATACGTTTCGTATCCTCTGGTCTGGGGTTATGATGGGGATTGGTACTCTATTGCGGTGGGAATGGGCCAACGGAAGTCCGCGCCATATGTACTGACAAGCCGGAATGTTGCGGTGCCGTGGATGGGATGGGCCGGGGAACTTGAGTAGGTGACGGGAGACCTCGGCCGCAGAGGGGTGGTGGAAGAAGCGAAGCTTCGGGTTCGCAGCGGCGGCAGCGGCAGTGGCCATGAGACGGACGCGTTCAGGGTGCAGAGAAGCACTGCGTGGTGAAGTTGAGATTAACTAGTTGGGAACTAAGCAGGCCTAGGTATCCATACCATGGGTTTTGGTCCTGAGTTGAGGAAAGGCGTTCGTCCGCGAGGTGGTATCTTGCTCTCTCTCACTGTCAGGATCCCACTATCATTAGCCTCAGTCAGCATGCTGGCTGCATTTTGGCTTTCCCATCCCACAGAACATTTGTGGCTACAGCTGACGACTGAGGCTGCGCACTGTTTAACTCCATCGTTTTGCATTACTAGAGGATTACCGCAGTACATATAGACGCTACCCTACCCTCGAATTCCGCACTATTTAACCTTAACCCTTTTCTCACCCATCCTTTCCTCTATTCTACCCTCTCCCTCGTTAAGGGATCGCTAAAATCGCAGTTTCAATAGCTTATTAATAAACTAATATTACTATTTAAAAATAAGTAATTTATTTTTATATATAGGCGCCGGGAGTCTTATTATTATAGAAATAGTAATAAATATACTAAAGCACTTAAGAAAGCTTTTTAATAAACTTCTAATACTATCTAAAGTAATTATCCTCGAGCTATAAGAAGAAGCCGAGGCGCTATATTAATATAGCCCTATTTATCTTATTAATACTAATAATACCCTTTTTAGCGTAAAATATATTAATAATACTTTATAACTATGTTATTACGCTTCGTAAATCGTACTTAACGTTAGTAAGGATTCTAGTATTATTTACTAAGTATTTTATTAAAGTTATTATCGTAGGGTTAGTTTAGTTATTAATATCTTAATAAGTATTTTAACTTAATATACTTAAAAGCTCTTATAGCTCTTAATTAGAGGCTTTTAAGGGACTTATAATTAGACTTTTTGCTTATTATAGGTAAAGCTATTATAATTAAAACTATAGCGCTACTTATAGACCTTGATAGTAAGCAATTAGTAATATAGTTATCTTTTTTTTATAATAAGCTTAAAAAAGCATCTTAATTCAAGTATTAGGTAGGTACTATACTATTTTATTAAAACTATATTCTTATACTTATAACTCAGAAAGAATTAACTTTCTTCGATAACAAGGTACTCAGACTGAGGCTGCGAGCCCCCTGCTCTAGGCGCGGTTTAAGTCTGAATCGATATTGATGTCGTTGGCGCCGGCGGGTTGGCTTCAAGCCGGGTGGAGACAGGAATGGAGCACGGGCTCCGCAGATGGACGGACAAGATGTTGGGGATCTGCGGGTGGAGATTTTCTCTTTTGGTCTGGCGCTGGTTGGCAATGTTTTTTCTCCCCCTTCTTCGGTGCTCTCTTCTCCTTCTTTGGGTGGGGGCTTGGTTGTTTTCGTGAGTTCGCTATTGGTGCTTGGAGAACCCCTGGCATTTCTCGAAGGGGCCCATCGAAGGCGACCCCCAAATTGTGTCCCAAAATCCCAATTGTTGGGGGGACCGACATTTACCGCCCACGTCGACGTGGCTCGGCAAAGCTCCTCGGCGACGGCATTGATGTTGGTGGTGGGAGGCAAGGCCAGGGCCTAGCAATTCCAGCTGCTATCGGCTTGTCGAGGACCCCTTATCGGGTTGGACCGGTGGCCCCTTGGCCTGGCGCTTGGCTTGGTTGGAATTTGCATGTTGAATGGTGAAGCTCTGCCCCAAGACCAAGATGCGAAACTGAAGAGAACGAGACTTTGGCGTGGTTCGCGCGGTCTGTCCCATCCGAGACACCAAAGGTTTAGACACAAGCGTTTGGCCACTGAGTGAATACCAGTCCAAGCCAGCAGCGGGTGAGACCGAGAGTTGGGACGTTTGTATTTGCCCTGTATGCCCTGAACTTTGTGGTTCAGCATTCTCCGTCATCCATGGCGAGTGTAATAGTGCTCGACGGGGACTTGATCTGAAGCCGGCGCTATATGTGCATAGGTTCTGCAGAAGGCCAAGGAGGTACTAGGTCGGTAAACTTGGGTACCTGGCCGGTTCTGCGTACTGCGTACTGCGTAGCCTGTAGGTGCGAGTACTGCGTAGGACTAGCGGAAGCTGATGGACGTCCCCGGACGGAGAACCGGCGAGGCTAGGCGGTTTAGAGGTGCGTAAGCGAGTCGACAGTTACGGCGTTAGGTTGTTGAGGCTTGCACCCCTGGACGACGTGGGCGACGCCTGACTGACCGCCTGCGAGATTGGGTATGGGCTGGAGGGGTGGTCGATGGGGACACCCTGATGGAGCTTTTCTGATGAAACTTGAAGGGGCGGCCTGTCCATTTGTTCCATACTCCCAGACTCTCAGTGCCGGGCGACAAGAAGTCGGGGCCGATGAAAGTTGGGATGCCAAATGGGATGGATGCAAGAGATGCGCGCATTGATCGTGCCGGGCTCCTGAACTCGTGGGAGGGCAGACTTTGCCAGTATGTGTTTGCTTGCTGGGTCCGGGGTTGCCAACGGCGCTCTCGAGCTGTGGGTGTCGGGTCTGGGTGTAATTATACGGCGTTGATGAGGTTAACGATCGGTGTCTAACGGCCGGCGGTGCGGTGCGGCGGTGTCAGAGTACAGTGACAGGGTGCCATTGGATCGTGGCAGTCAGGTAACGCAACAGCTTTCGGACATTGTTTGGAGATGCCGTCGGGGTTCGGTGGTGGCAACGATGGCTGACCCGATCCGATCCTCCATCAAGTTCAGGAGCCCGCGGAGAGTACATCAGATTTTGGTAGGAAAAAACCAGGAGCTGAATTCTGAATGCGATTGTGACATTTCGTAGCGAAGGTGATGTGTGTATGTGTGTGTGTGTCGCTGTCGCGACCAACGATCCATCTCGAATATTAGGTGTGGTGTTGGAGAATGACAAGGTCTACAAGGCTGGAGGTGACGAAATGGTTGAGAAATTGCGCAACAGTAGAAAATCTCAAGGTGCAAGGTAAGGAAGGAATGCGGCAGCAACGCGCAATAGGAGCTTTGGCCCAAGAGTACGTACCGATAAGGCCAACGATAACGTCCCGGGGTCTACAGGTGGAGACACAGGTGCCTCAAGGTACAGGGGAACTTGCCTCAAGAGAAAAAAAAAGATGCGAGGAAGAAGCTATGAGACTGAACCAAACAAGTAGCTTTGATTGGAGAGAGAGACACACATTGCTGGCCCAAATCTGAGAGAGAAAAAAAACAGAAAGATTCCAGCGGCAGAATCCCCTGGGCCGGGAAAGAATGGCAATCAGATGCGCTACGGGATGAGGATCGGTACCTGAAGCCCCGTCATGGCATACGTACCGGCGCAAGTACCTATCTTTTGTTCCCTGTCCATGGGTGTTCAATGCTCCCGCCGGGTACGTACCGAAAACCAGGGGCAGAGAATGCAGGTTGACGTTTGTTTCCTCACAGTTTTTGTCAAGTACCCAGGATCTGTTTTGTTGCTAGTTAATGTTCATCTTGAAGTGACAGCTTTGGGAGGGGAGGTAACATTACCCAACCCAACCCAATCAACGAATTATAATCGAACCTTATCTTCGTGGGGGCTGGGCTGAGAGTTGCAAGGGAGCCAGCAGTTAAAACCATCCGAAAAGGGCTGAGAGACACAACGCCCAGGCTTTACTCTGTGGTTTTGGAGGGAAGACTCAAAAGAAAGAGAGACTTTAGAATGAGACCTGAGAGACATTGCCTTACCTAAGCCTTGGTGTCCGTACTGCGGTAGGTTAGGTACGTAGTAGGTAGCTTGGATTTTGGGCATGGACAAGGAAGGACTGGTGCAGCCCGCTTGCCCGCCCACCCTTGGGCAGGAGCTCCCCCAACACCCCGGCCATTGGTTGAGGGAGGGGGGCAGAATCTCAGCCGGATAGATGGATTGGGGCATTTTGACAGATGGAGGCAAGGAGGAACCGAGGGAATCAGTGACCAACGAATGCGTTGCCAACATGGAAAAGTGTGAGTATCCATCCAGTCGTGTTCTGTATGTAGCCATCTACATACATCTTGTGTATTTGCAGCGCAGCCTACTGGCAGTCTAGTTGAGCGTATGATGTAAGCTTAGATGTGAGAAAAAGACCCGAACTAACGCTCACAGACTTCCATTGATCAATACGTAGACTGGCCGGTAGTGTCAGGTGCAAGTATCACCAGGAACAAGAGCAGGAATCATCTCAGTCCTTGGTCTTGCCCAATGTCTAGTGGCCCTTGCTGGTCTGGTCTCAAAAATGGCGATGCGCGTTGAACGGGCAGTTTTAGCTGAGGACGATCTTGCCTACTTACTTTGGGGGAAACTTGGTGATGGTGGTCCGTCACCCGCCGGAGTGAGGTACTCCCGGTACATGGACTCGGGTACCGGCTCAAGTACCTTTTTTGCACCTCGCACGTACTCTCTCTCAGAGGTTCCCCATCCCGGGAAATCTGCCATGCTCCTTCCTCCTCATCGACCACAGCACCGACAATGGCAAGCACCAAGCACAACCGCACCACGATGCACCAAGCACCAAGCACCGAGACCGACGCCGTACACACATTGACACCGTACTCCGTCCCTAAGCAGATTTGCAGCTTCGTCCTCGTCTTGGTCCCGTCCCCATGGCGATGCCCGGTGCTTCGTGCCATCGTCGAGTGAATCACGTATAACAAGTGAACCTCGCCTGCTGTATCGTGTCTGGTGCCTTCTTTCTCCCGCTCGCTCTCTCCGCCCCCGCGTCGTCCCATTACTTGGCCTCCCCCTTCTCCTTCTTTTTGTCTCTATCTCCATCTCCCGACGGGCCTCCTCGTCGTTGTTATTATATTCTCCGGGTACTTGTTAGGACCCCCTACTATATCTCCTTTCTCATACGGATACGGATCTCCAGGAACCGATAGCTCCTCCCTGGCAGGTGGCAGTGTCGAGGGAACATCTAATTGCAAAGCTTCAGGCAGGGAAACCAACCATTTCGTTCAGATCCAGCTTCAGCTTCCTTGAGCTTCTCGCGGAGAAGTAACAAAACCAGCAAAAAACACTATACAGTACGGTAGGTACCTACCCTTGACTATACGGATACTCCAAGCCCGAAAGCATACTCTTCCCGTCCTCTTTCCTTTACCATATCGATCCTCTTTCCCTCTCCGTCCCGCCGTCCCGGACGTCCTTCCTCACCTAATACGGCCTTACCTGAGCAGTCCCCGAGTTTCCCTTCCTTCCCTCTCTCGAATACGGTACGCCATGCAAAGTACACACCCCCCTTCCCCCATCGCAGACCCCACACATTTCATCCCGTCCCACCAGGAGGTACAGCTGGAGGTACAGCTGGAGGTACAAATCAAGGTACACGACGTCTACTTTGATCTCCAGAAAAAGGTACTTGGCCAAGTGACTTTGCGCCCCTCCTCATCCATCCTCACCTTCGTTGCGCTCCTCCCACGCCGTCAACGCCGCTCCAACAATCCCCGTCAAAGTTCCAGGTCCCAAATTCCACATCGCTCATTGCCTCAACCCCGGAACTCCCGTCCAAAGAGTCCACACCTCACACACACACCTCACTCACACGCTCACTCTCACTCCCCTGCGCCTGGATCCTCCTCCTAATTATTGCTTGTTCCTGTACGGAGTACACACAGTATTGCTGGCTGTCGTTAGTCTCCAGTTCTCCAGTTCACCAAGTCTTCTGACTGCCTGTCCTTTTTTTTGGTGGCTCATCTCATCCCATCCGCAAAGTCGCCGGACTACAATAACATCCTTCTATTCCCACTTCCCAGCAGCCCTTCTTCTCTCTCTCCTTCGACCTCTCTCTTCCCACTCTCTCCCTTCCATTCTCCCTTTTTCTGACATACCTTTTAGACCTTCTGTCCTAGCCACAAGACAGAAGAAGGAAGCATCTTGTCTTACCAAGCTTGCCCCCCAATTCATAACCAGGTACGTTGGCTCTAGGCATTGCTGCTTTGCTCTGCTGGCTTGCTGCTCGTTCTACGGAATACCGGTCAGTCAGTTAGTTGCGCGCGCAATCTCTCCTCTCAGGCCCAGCCCAACTGCTCTCGCCTGCTTCTCCCTGGCACCCGTCTCGCGCCGCCCATTTTAACCCCTGGCGTGGCCTGCATTCCTCACCCACCCCAATATTCTCCCCCCCTCTTAGTGCTGCCTCGCGCCCGATTTCCCCAACAAGAAACTTTTTTTGAGAACCGTGAGAGAGAGCTGTTTTTTGGGCTAACAATACCTCTTTTCCCGACTATCTAGAGACTCGAACAAATCTCTGTTCTACACATCCGCCACGATCAATTGCTCTGCCTATACCCCATACTGTTCTTTGCTGCAGAGACAGAATCCAACAAATTAATCTCCTGCTCGAATCTCCCCCCTTGAGCAACCAGAAAAAACCCCCGACGACCACCCCACGTCATAACACCCCGAATCGAAGCTCCCCGAGCTCGCCCCGATTCATGACGGTCGCTTTCTGAGATACCCGCGAAAGTCCACACCACACCACACACAAACACCGCAATCATGACCGAAATCACAGCAGCCAACGGCGCCGGCCGGACTGTGCCTCACGTCAACGGCAAGGCGACGTATGCCGAGAAGCACAAAATCGCCGACCACTTCATTGGCGGCAACAAGCTGAGCAACGCACCGGCCTCCAAGGTCAAGGACTTTGTTGCCCAGCAAGATGGTCACACCGTCATCACCAACGTGCGTCAAGCCCCAATACCGCCCCAAACGCTTACGAGATCGTCCTGGTGGGTTCATGGGATGCAAAAATGTGCTGACCGAGTGCAAAATAGGTCTTGATCGCCAACAACGGTATTGCTGCCGTCAAGGAGATCCGTTCGGTCCGGAAATGGGCCTACGAAACGTTTGGCGACGAGAAGGCCATCCAGTTCACCGTCATGGCCACCCCTGAGGATTTGGCTGCCAACGCCGATTATATTCGCATGGCTGACCACTATGTCGAGGTGCCTGGCGGTACCAACAACCACAACTACGCCAACGTTGAGCTGATTGTTGATATTGCTGAGCGCATGAACGTCCACGCTGTTTGGGCCGGATGGTGAGTTTCCTCCTACCCCCCGGCGACTGTCGCCTGCTTGCCACGGTGGCTGACCATTTCTTTCTCCAGGGGTCACGCCTCCGAAAACCCCAAGCTTCCCGAGTCCCTCGCTGCCTCCCCCAAGAAGATCGTCTTCATCGGACCCCCGGGCTCCGCCATGCGATCTCTTGGTGACAAGATTTCCTCCACAATTGTTGCACAGCACGCCAAGGTACCTTGTATCCCCTGGTCAGGTACCGGTGTCGACGCCGTCGAGGTCGACAACCAGGGTATCGTCACCGTCGCAGATGACATCTACTCTAAGGGTTGCGTTACATCATGGCAAGAGGGTCTGGAGAAGGCCAAGGCCATTGGCTTCCCCGTCATGATCAAGGCCTCAGAGGGTGGTGGTGGTAAGGGTATCAGAAAGGCCCTTTCCGAGGACGGCTTCGAGCAGTTGTACAAGGCTGCTGCTGGCGAGATTCCCGGTTCTCCCATCTTCATCATGAAGTTGGCAGGCAACGCGAGACATTTGGAGGTGCAGCTGCTTGCTGATCAGTACGGAAACAACATCTCCCTCTTTGGCAGAGACTGTTCCGTCCAGCGTCGTCACCAGAAGATTATTGAGGAGGCTCCCGTCACCATTGCCAAGGACATCACATTCAAGGCCATGGAGGATGCTGCCGTTCGTCTCGGAAGACTCGTCGGTTACGTCTCTGCTGGTACCGTCGAGTACTTGTACTCGCACGCCGACGACAAGTTCTACTTCCTCGAGCTGAACCCCCGTCTTCAGGTCGAGCATCCTACCACCGAAATGGTCAGTGGTGTCAACCTGCCCGCTGCCCAGCTCCAGATTGCCATGGGTATTCCCCTGCACAGAATCCGCGACATTCGTCTTCTGTACGGCGTTGATCCCAGGACATCCACCGAGATCGACTTTGAGTTCAAGCAGGAAGGTAGCGAGAAGACGCAGCGTCGCCCCAGACCCAAGGGTCACACTACTGCTTGCAGAATCACCTCTGAGGACCCCGGTGAAGGGTTCAAGCCCTCCAACGGTGTTATGCACGACCTGAACTTCAGGAGTTCCTCCAACGTTTGGGGTTACTTCTCCGTCAGTACCGCCTCCAGTATTCACTCCTTCTCCGATTCCCAGTTCGGTCATATTTTCGCCTATGGCGAGAACCGTGCTGCTTCCCGTAAGCACATGGTTGTTGCCCTCAAGGAGTTGAGCATTCGTGGTGACTTCCGGACAACGGTTGAGTACCTCATCAAGCTTCTGGAGACCGAGGCTTTCGAGGACAACACCATCACCACCGGCTGGCTCGACGAGCTCATCACCAAGAAGCTGACTGCTGAGCGCCCCGACCCCATGTTGGCTGTCGTCTGCGGTGCTGTTACCAAGGCCCATCTCTTCAGCGAGGAGTGCATGACTGAGTACCGCACCAGCTTGGAGAAGGGTCAGGTTCCTTCCAAGGACATTCTCAAGACCGTTTTCGCCATCGACTTCATCTATGAGGGTTTCCGCTACAAGTTCACCGCCACCCGTGCCAGCGTCGACAGCTACCACCTTTTCATCAACGGCTCCAAGTGCTCTGTCGGTGTCCGTGTCCTCAGTGATGGTGGTTTGCTTATCCTTCTTGATGGTCGATCCCACAGTGTTTACTGGAAGGAGGAAGTCGGTGCCACTCGTCTTTCCGTTGACGGCAAGACCTGCTTGCTCGAACAGGAGAACGACCCTACCCAGCTCCGCACTCCCTCCCCCGGTAAGCTCGTCAAGTACTTGGTCGAGAACGGCGAGCACGTCAAGGCTGGCCAGCCTTTCGCCGAGGTTGAGGTCATGAAGATGTACATGCCCCTCATCGCTTCCGAGGATGGTCTTGTCCAGCTCATCAAGCAGCCGGGAGCCACTCTCGAGGCTGGTGACATTCTGGGAATATTGGCCCTTGATGACCCCAGCCGCGTCAAGCAGGCTTCGCCTTTCGTCGGTCAGCTCCCCGTCTATGGCGAGCCTGTTGCTGTCGGAACCAAGCCTGCCCAGAGATTCGATCTTCTGCACAACACCCTGAAGAACATTCTGCTCGGCTACGACAACTCCGTCATCATGGCAGCCACCCTGAAGCAGCTGATCGAGGTCCTCCGCACTCCCGAGCTTCCCTTCAGTCAGTGGAACGCCCAGTTCGCTGCGCTGCACAGCCGTATGCCCCAGAAGCTCGACGCCCAGTTCACCCAGATTGTCGACCGTGCCAAGAGCCGTCACGCAGACTTCCCCGCCAAGGCCTTGGCCAAGGCCTTCCAGAAGTTCCTCGAGGACAACGTCGCTGCTGGCGATGCTGACATGCTCAAGACCACTCTGGCCCCCTTGACTGATGTCTTGAACGCATACTCCGAGGGAACCAAGGCCCACGAATTGACCGTCATCAAGGACCTCTTGGCTTCGTACATTGAGATCGAGCGCCTGTTCACTGGTTACGGAACCCAGGAGGACAGCGTCATCCTCAAACTGCGTGACCAGAACAAGGATGATATCC